CTTTTTCTTGCCCAGTTGCTCTGGCTGGAACTTCCAGTTCCGTGTTGAATAGAAGTGGCAAAAGCAGGCGTTCTTGCCTTGTCCTTGATCTTAGACAGAAGGCTTTCAGTTTTTACTGTTGAGTGTGGTGTTAGCTCTGTGTCTGTGTGTCTGTGTGTGTCTGTGTCTGTCTGTCTGTGTCTTTGTGTGTGTGTGTGTCTGTGTGTGTGTCTGTGTATGTGTGTGATAAATGCCATGTCATGTGAGGGGCTCTCTTCTAGTCCCAGTTTTGATTGGTTTTATCAGGAAAGGCGCTGGATTTTGTCAGAGGCTTTTTCTGCAACTGAGATGATTGTGTGTTTTTTTCCCCTTCTCTCCTTTTGTTCCCACTTCCACTGTGGAAAGTTCTGGAAAGTTCTGTGGAAAGCAAGCAGTTGGGGCTCCATGTGGGTTGCGGCCAGTCTCTTCGGTGAGAGGAGTTCTTGGTTTGGGCCTCCGAGGGTAGGGGGTCCATCTGAGGAAAGCAGGTGGCTGGAGAGGAGAGTCGTGCAGCACTGAGTGCATGGAGAATAGGTCCAGGGTGTCACCAGCCCCAGGCGTGTCCTGCTGTCTGTGGGGTCCCCAAAAGGCTGCCTGGGCCCGGAAGCTCTGCCACCTGGCCAGGCCCTGGGATGGAGAAGCTTGCCCCCTACGCCCTTTGGTGGACGGTGGGCATCAGGCCGGGGTAAACCCCTGTGTCCACGTAGCTCCTTCATTCATTCAGCACTGTCTGAGGTCAAGTTCCCTAGGGCAGTGGATCTCAAACTTGTGCAAGCATCAGAATGCCCTGGAGGCTTGTCACAGCGCAGATCCTGGGCCCTGCCCTGGAGTGTCAGATGCAGGAGGTCTGAGGCGGGCCTGAGCAACTGCATTTCTAACAAGTTCTTAAGTGACACCACCACTGCTAGTCCAGGAACCACACGTGGAGGAGCACAGCCTACACTGGGGATCCCCGAGGGGCGAGCTGCCCCGCAGAAGGGAGGGGAGGAGCAGAGAGGGCAGGGGGAGAAGCTGGGTGCGGATGTGGGTTCGCCAGAGGCGTGGCCTCTGCCTGATCCCGCAGGGAGCTCTGCAGTGTGCTGTTTCAGGAGCAGGAGGCCAGGCTGCTGGCGCACCTTAACAGCTGGCACTGTGACAAGTTCTTCTGGGCTGGGGCAGCTGGGGTGGCCTCCTTGGGAGGGGGTGCAGGTAGGGATCTGGGAGAAGACTGACACCTGTGCCAGGAGCACCTGCTGTGTGCCAGGTGTCATTCTCAGCATCATCTTATGGCAGAGAATGAGCACCTGCCTGCCCTCTTGGAGCTGGTGTCCTGCCGGGAGAGGCAGGTAACAATAGCGACACACTGTCACCTCAGTGCGAGACAGGTGCTGTGCAGAAAGAGGAGGCCAGGGCCGGGTGGAGGGGCCCAGGTGGGTACTTAGGATTGGGGGGTGGGGATGGGCCTCTCGGATGGGTCTAAGTCCTCACTCCAGGCCTGGTGGGGAGGAGCCCCTGCTGCATGGTGAGGAGATGGGGAGACCGAGGCACGGGGAAGTGGAGGGCCGTGCCCAGATGCACACAGCAGTGGTGGAGCCTGGAGTTGGACCAGTTCGACTCTGAGGAAGACTTCTGAGCCCGGTCCCCACCCCACCCCCAATCCAGCCCGTCTGTCGATGCCCCTGCCTGGGGCCAGGCTCTCAGAGGACCTGACCCGCTGGCAGATCGGGGCAGCCCCACCTCAGCCTGCTGCACGCCCCAGATAGAGGGTCAGTGGCCTATGCTGTGGCACCGCCCTGCCCTCCCTCCCCCGCCACATCTACCTCTCAGAGCTGTCACAGGCCTCAGACCACACGGCCTGCCCTACCCAGGCCCCACAGCCTCACCTCCCTTATCTTCTCCCCTCGCCCCGGGGCCCAGCCACAGTCTGGCCCATGTCTCTGTTTATTTTTCACATGGCACTGATGGTTTTTTCTAGACCAGCCCTGTCCGACAGAACTTTTTGCAATGAGGGAAATGTTCCAGAAGGGCACTGATGGTTTTTTCTAGACCAGCCATGTCCGCCAGAACTTTTTGCAATGAGGGAAATGTTCCAGAAGGGCTATGTTCAGTCCAGTGGCCACTAGCCGCATGTGGCTTTTGAGTACTTGAAATATGGCTAGTGTGACTGAGGAATACAATCGTGATTTTTAAAAATTTTAATAATTTGAAATTATACACAAGTAACCGCGTGTGGCTGGCAGCTACTGGGCTGGAAGGCACGCGTCTAGAGCCTCAGTAGGCCTCGTCCCTGCCTTGCCCGGAAGCTGCAGCTGGGCCGAGTGGGAGGCTGGCATGCGCAGCCCCATCTCACTGTCGGAGGTCTGGACCCCTGGCGGACGTGTGCCTTCTCCTGTGGGAGCGGGTCCCCTTGGCTGAGTCCTATACGTGCTTCCGGTGACTTTATGCCCGGCCCTGTAAAATTCAGTCTCCAGCTCAGAAGTTCCCAAGTGCGTCCCACGATTCCGCAGCTTGCGAAAGGTGGGCACGTGTTACGTGAAAAGCAGAGGGGCAGGTAGAGGTTTGTGGTCAGGAAGTTTGGGAAACGCTGCGAGAGGCCGAGTTAAGGACGCAGACGTTCTCAGAGCTGTCGACGAAAATAATCCATAACCAATCTATAAATGAAAATTTGGGTGAGTTTATTCTGAGCTTAAATCTGAGGATTATAACCCGGGGCCTTTCTTCCTGAAGGAAGAAAGGGCACCAAAGAAGTGGGGTGCACAGACTGGTTATATGCCCCCAGAGAGGATGTTTCACACAGGATTGAAATGTCCCTTTTACAATAGTCACGAGACTGCTCTGTCGACACAGCGATTGATGGAAACAGCAGGTAGGTCTTCTGTCTCAGTGAACACAGCAGGGTGGCAGTCTGTTGTCTCCAGCTGAGTGGTCACAGGTGAGCTGGGTGGTCAAAGGTGAGTGCAGCAATCAGTTCCTAGCCTAAGGAAAGACGCTTATCCCTAAGGAAATGCCAATGTGGGGGGAAGTTGCACCTTTATCTCAAGGGCCTTTGTTCTGGCCATAGGAAATGTCTAAGCAGATACACAATGCGTGCTCAACAGCCACAGTCAGGCCCTTGTGGAAAAAACAAAGTCAGGCCGAATTAGGTTTATACCAAATGGTTTCCTCATATACTCCAATATATCCTATTGCTTGCCATTTTTATTTGTCAGAGCCTTTAATGTGCTGGAGTGGGCTATGAATTTCCAAGAGATGGACAGCATAAGCAATGTTTCCCAAACTTATTCGACCGTGGAACCCTTCCTTGATGGAGTGCAGGGATAGCCAGCTGCTGTGGAGCACACTCAGAGAACTGCGGTTCTCATGGGGGTGTGTGTGTGTGTGTTGGACCCTGAGCAGGTTGGGAGAGGCTTCACTGCCTTTCAGTCTCTGTCCCCTGCTGGCTTGCCCCGGGAGGGAGGTGTGACTTCCCGTGTCCTGCAGGGGCACATCTGTTTGTTGACTCATTTATTCATAGGAAACGGTGGCTCCCCGCCTCCCACACTCCAGGCTTGTGGGGCGGTGGGATTGTGTGACGATAGGCAGAGCTGGCCCCTGCCTCCTCTCTGGGTCTGTCCCCAGCCCCCAGCCCAGTGGCAGTGGCCATGCATCCCAGCTCTGTCTCATGGGACCCTCACAGCCTCAGCTCCGCTCCGTGCTCACCTTCCCTGTAACCTCCTCTGCTCGGCCCCCTGGGCACCTCTGCGTCCGGCCACCCCCGTCCCAGGACAGCCCTCAGCCATCCCCGTGTTGGAGTCCTGAGTTCCAGCCTTCCATCCTGGACCCCTCTGTCCGCCCGTGCCCCACATGCTGCCTGTTAACCGCCCCCATCTCCACTGCCCCAGTCCCTCATCATCCTCCCTGGGGCTGCTCCTGCTCTTCTTCCCTATTTGGGCCCCTGCTGCCCCTAGAACGGCTCAGGAATCACTGTGTGATGGCTCCCGGCTGCCCTGCCGAAGCTGTCAGAGCCTTCGCTGGCAGGCGGCCTGCATGATGAGCACCACCCTGCACCAGCACCCTGGTCTCTCCCTGCTGCCCACAGTCGTCTTTCTGCCTTGACCCTACACCTAGGTAACTCCTCTTCGCCCTGCGTCTCAGCTTTGATGTCACCACCTCCAGGAAGCCTCTCTGGCCACCGCCAGCCCTGTTCTTCTCCTCACATTGCATGTAAACGCCTCCCTACTGGGCTGTGAGCCATCCTGAGTGAGGACAGCACTAGCCCCCCTGGGGGCCTGACACCTAGCAGGCACTTAGTAAACATTTCCAAAGTGCCCTGGCCTCTCTGAGGCCCTGCCCAGGGTCCGTGGGGAGCAGGGCGTGGCCCAGGGTGCATCCTCAGCCAGGCAGGAGACGGTTCTGGATCTGGGTGCATGGACGTTTGCCCAGGGCCGGGGGGGTCACAGGGAAGGCTGTGTCCTGCCCTTGGGGCAGATGCCTTGCGGGCGCCCCAGGCCCTCCCGCCCTGCAGCGCAGACGAAGGCATGGCGCCCTTTCTGAAGAGCAGTCTAGTTCCCGGTGGGTGAAGAGGCTGCGCTGTGCCGGGGAGCAGGAGCCTGGCCCCCAGCCCTGGCTCTATCGGGGGCTCGCTGTGTGACGTTGCAGGGAGAGCCTCCGTGCCGGCCCTTCCCAGTCCGGTGTGGCTGCTGGGTCCAGGTCTGCAGGCTGCCTCGGAGGCCTCTGCAGCTCTCACTGTGGGCGCACGAGGGCAGCCGAGGGCTGTGGAGTGCTGAGGGATCTGGGCGGACACAGCTGAAGGAAAGCGCTCAGTGTCACTGCTCTCTCCGGAGCCCGGAGCTCTTGGGGGCTGCACGGGTGGGGCTCTTGTTTCCTCCCACAGGACCTGCGTTTGACCGGGGTTCAGCAGGGCACCTTGAAACTGCCATTCGAGGGAATCGGCCTTCCCAGCGGCTGCCTCTGAGCTCTGGGCACAGCAGTGGGAGGCCAATGGCCTGCGTCTGTCTCCACAGTGGTCCTTTGCTGTCGCGACCATCACAGAAATCCCCCCTGTCATCTTCCTCCCCAACTTCCTTGTGCAGAGGAAGGTGCTGAAGCCCCTTCGGACCCAGACAGGAGGAACCATAATGGTAGGTGGGCAGGCAGGCTGGAGGAATGGCTGGGCTGGGGACCCCCACACCCGGGCTGCTGCCCCCGCTGGCATTGGCCCGCCCTGGGCTCTTGATCTGGAATGGCCTCCTCCCACTGAGCAGTGGGACAGAACCCTAAACATTTCTCAAATCCAGCAACAATGACCCTTTCTCCCAAAGCCTTTCCCACCCCATCTGGGACATTAGAGTTCATTGTTTCTCCCCCGGCTTCCTGTTAGAGTTACTGTGTTGGCTGGTATGTAAGATATACCCCCATTCCCCTAAGGGTGTATCCTACAACTATGGCTCTGATGGGCTCCACTTTAAGATGGAAAACCAAACCCCCATGACATCAGTGGTGGGTGATGGTCCCCTCGCCCCGTCGTGGGTGCGTGGGTGCGGCAGTGAAAACGCGCATGGCAGAATTGTGTTTCGCACCCTGTGTGTGGCTTTCTTTAAAATTAGCTGCAGGCTGCCGCGTTGGTTGGAGGTGGAGGGATGTTTCGGATTTGAATGGACGATGATCTCACCCGACCTGGATCCATACCTAGTGATCCCTGTCGGTGTCTTTCTAGCTTTGCAAATTTGTACATTGTTTTTAGCTTATCAGAATTTTACTGGTCAGCCCAAAACTACGCTTTCCTGCAGGATCTCTGTATTTGGTTGACTGTATCTCCGTGATTAAGAAATTGTCTGTTTTCCCTTTGAGACCCGCATTAAAATCATTGTCAGCTCCCGTGTGATCATAAGTACTTAACTTGCACTTCTCCCAGTTTCCTCGCAAACTGCCGAGGGACTCATGCCCCGTCCATCTCATGTGCCCGCCAGTCTGGTGCTGGCTTCTGGGACTGAGTCTGAGTGTGCCGGGGGCAGGTGCCTCCTGGACCCACACCTCGGAGCTCACTCCCCTCAGAGCCGGCTGGAACGGCATTTGTGGAGTGAATGAGTAAATCAGTGAATGAGTGCGTGGAGGAATCGGTTGTCTGCGCCCCTCACCCTGTGCTTGTCTCCAAAGGCGGGGAAGCTGGCCGTGGAGCGAGGCTGGGCCATCAACGTGGGTGAGTGCTGGCCAGCCTGGCCTGGCCGTCCTGGGGGCAGGGAGGGGCAGGGGGACCCCGGAGGTGGCAGCTGTGAGTCAGAGGCTGTGCTTCCTCCCCAGCTACCCTGAGCCTCCTTAGTGAGTGTCTGGAGGCGGGTGTGCAGCTGCCTGGTGCCTGGGAGGGACCAACCCGTGCCTCCATCTGGTGTGGGATCCTTATCTAAAAGAGTTCCCCAGGTGGCTCCCCACACCTGCCTTTGCATACTTCCAGCGATGGAGAGCTCACTCCCAGAAAGCCTGTGCCATGTGCTGGGCATCTCTGCATGGAGCTGAAACCTGTAGAGTTTCAGAGGCTCCCCTGGAAGGCTCTGTCAGTCCCCTGGGCCCTGGACAGCCTCTGGGGGCTTGGTCATGTCGTGGTGGGTGGACAGACCCAGGGTCAGTACCACCTCCCCCTCAGGGGTCCTGGGGCCAGCATTTCCCAGTCCCATGGGCTCGCCTACGAGATTGGCTCACGGGAGTGCTGCTTACATTAGTCTTCCTTGTCCCTGTCGTTGTCCTTCACGGAGGCTCAGCACTTCACAGTTTGCCAAGCCCTGTCCCCTCTGGCCTTTCATTTGAGTTGGGCATAATTGTCAGTGCCATCATATCAATTTGGAAATGGATGTTGAGAGAGGCCTGCTCAGTAGTTTGCTCAGAGCGCCATAGGAGGGACCCCCCACTTTTGCCTGTGAGCTCTGCAAAGCCAAGGGCTGGGTCTCTTCCACCTTGGTGTCACCAGGTGCCCAGCGTTAGGTCTGGCATAACCATGATGTTATGACACTCTGCTGAACTAATAGATGAATAATGCATGCCCTGCGTGTCTACAGCAGGGCTCCCACAAGGACCCGGGCTGCCCCTTCTCCCATGGGAGGTGTTATGGCCTGGTGGAAGTTAAGAGTCCACGTCCTGATCCAGCCTGGGTTTGAATCTTGATTCTGCCATTAGCTTGCTGTGTGACCCCGGGCAAGTTGCTGACCCTTTCTGTGTCTCAGTTTCTTCATCTGTAAAATGGAGATGATGATAATAGTGCTCCTCCTTGGGCTGTGGGGAGGCTTCAGCGAGCTCAGTGCCAGGTTAGGAGTTTGTTATTGGCTGTTATCTCATCGTTATGATCCAATGATGGCCTCCTGGGTGGTGGGGGAGGCAAGTCCCTTGTGTCCGTGGGCCCTAGCTTCACCCTGACAGATGGGACCGTTGTTAGGCTCCATTTCAGGCCGCTGCAACTCAGGTTCTTGCTCGGGTTGCAGGGGGAAGGGTCTCTGCGGGCACTGGGGCTCTGAGGCTGTGGCTTCAGGGCTGGGGGATGGTGGGGGCTGGACCTATGGCTGCCATGACCAGCAGAGGGGGTCCTTCCTGACCGCCCCTTCCTGGCATGGGGCATCGCATGGAGGCAGACCCAGCTCTGGGGCAAGGAGCGGCTTTCTGCCTTGGGAAGGGTGAGCTCCTGTCCTTGGGGGGTGTGGCGGGTACTGGGGCTGACTTGTCAGGATGTCCTGAGAGGTCTCTTGCTCTGGGCAGGGGTGGCCATGGGGGCAGAGCAGTCTTCTGCCCCAGGGATGGTGACATGCCCAGGTACTCAGTTCTCTTTCCAGCCTGGAGCCGCAGGAGCCCTCCTGGGAGCTGAGCGGGGAGGGGACACTAGGGAGACAGAGGGGTCGGGAGTGCCTGGGCCGAGTCCTTGAGCCTGGCCCTGACCACACCCGTGTGTGTGCCCCCCGCAGGTGGCGGCTTCCATCACTGCTCCAGCGACCGGGGCGGGGGCTTCTGCGCCTATGCCGACATCACACTCGCCATCAAGGTGCGCCCCAGAGCGTGTGGGGGCTCGCCTCCGAGAGCCCTCCCTGGAATCCCCCACTCCCCCCCAATTTGGTGTTCTCACCCCGCATTCTGGAGAAGGGCACTGGAGCTCAGAAGCGGGAAGCTCGCCGGGGTCACCGAGCCGGGCTGGGACTCACACCCACATCTCACACTCTGTCCTGCGCTCCTTGTGAGGGAAGGGGGGCGTTGTCGCCTCACCAGTGGCAGGGGGCTGGAGGGGAGCAGCAGACAGCGACAGTGTGAGAAGGGCGTCGCTGCAGGCGGGTGAGGAGGAGCTGGAGAGACCAGGAATGACCACAGTGGTGATGGTGTGATGACAGCAGCTGGCAGTCGCTGCAGGCCCCAGCCTGTGCCGGCCTGTTCTCCATGGCTCCCCTCGTTTGAGCCTCGTATATTCCAGATGAGGAAACCGAGGCCCAGAGAGGTGGTCTGTCGGCCTCCAGAGCTCCCCCTGACCACTCTGTGGCTGACCTTGCGCTGGGCGCCAGGAGCTGACCAGTGGGGTCCCAATCCTCACGGGGCAGAGAGGCTCCTGGTGGAGGGGGGGGCAGGTCAGCAGACCCTGGCTGTTGGAGAGGGGCTGCACCGGAGATCTCCTGGAGGCTGGGGCAGGGGAAGGAGGGCTTCCCAGGGCCTGGCTTTGTGGGATGAGGCAGAGATTTGAGGGGAGGGTCCCCAGGGTCCCCCCCTCAGCCCTCACATGTTTCCCTGGGAATCCTGTACTGTGGCTGAGGGCCAGCCCAACTGTCCCCCTTACCTCCTGACCTCCAGCCCTTCAGGGCACAGCACATGCCCCCTCTTCCAGGGAGCCTTCCCTGACCACGCACACATGCTTCTCTTGAGCCACACAGCTCTCCTGGGCACGTGCCGTCTTTGTCTGGTGGCCTGATGACCCACAGGCATGCGTGGCTTCCTGCCCCACCCCCTCGCCAGCTAGGGGTCCCTGAGGGCTGCGTCCTCTGGTGTGCTTGTGTTCTTAGCTCTCCCCTCTCCTTCCCTGGGCAGTTTCTGTTTGAGCGAGTGGAGGGCATCTCCAGAGCCACCATCGTTGATCTGGATGCCCATCAGGTGAGTGCCCTGTGGGGAGGGGGCTCTCGTGGGACCGCCGCCCCAAGCTCCCTGCCCGTGGCCCCAACAGCCTGTCACGCAGCTCCACACTGTGGGGCTTCCCTCCCTCTAGGAGCATCACTGCGCCCCAAGCCAGCCTTCTGCCACCCCACCCTGACCTCCTGCTTCTCCCTGCTGCCCGTCCACGGGCTGGAGCCTGAGGGTCCGTCTTTGCCCCTCTACCTCTCAGTCCAGCCAGGGTGGCACGTCCTCCTTGTTGCCCTCCCTCCTCCTGACTGCCCCCACACAGCAGGCTGATGGCTCTTCTAAAACTCAATCTTACAATGCCTCTTTCGTGCTCTAAACCTTGCTGTGGCTCCCCAGTGCTTCCTAGTCGGTTTGCACAGAGCTGATGAGCACTGTGGACTTGGCCCTCAGGCGAGCACTCACTCACAGGATTTCAGGGTTGCTCAGTCCCGAGGCCACTGCTGAGGACCTCACTGCCTGGGGTGAGGTGCAGGGCCTCTTCTCCGAACTGCAAACCCAGGGCTCGCTCCTCTGGTCAGACACAGGGTAGGGCTTCTGATGGGCTCTCCAGGGCTCTTCCTGCACCCCTGCTCTTGTGGCTTTGTGCTGGTTCGGGCCTCTTCCCAGTTCATGTGACACTGAGCTCCTGAACCAGGTCCCACGTGCACAGTCCTTTGCAGCTTACCTTTCACATCCCTGATCCCATCACAGACTTGAGAGGGTGGTGCAGCCGGGATTCCGGCCTTGTTTTCAGAGGGGAAGGAACTGAGAGGACCAGGGCTTGCTCATGGTCACACTAGAACGTCATGGGGCCAGGTTTTGAGGTTTAATCCCAACTCTGCCGCTTAACAGTTGTGAGAACTTCAGTCCCCCAGGGACAAGCCATCCTGCTCAGGAACTGGGGCGTTTCCTGGGGTGTGGTTGGAGCATACTGGCCTTGCCAAGGACACCTGCCGGTGAGCGGCTTTCGTGTCCTTCCCACAGGGCAATGGGCATGAACGGGACTTCATGAATGACAAGCGCGTGTACATCATGGACGTCTACAACCGCCACATCTACCCCGGGGACCGCTTTGCCAAACGTAAGCTGCCCTCTGCCCCGAGGTCTGCACTGCATTCTTGTGTGGATGAGGCTCTTTCTCCTGAGTGTTTCCTACATACTGGGCCTGCAGAAGTCACTTCGTTTATCCTCAGCATCCCTGTGCAGTGGGCGTCAACCCATTTTACAGATGGGGAAACTGAGACCTGAAGAAGTCTCTTGACCCACCCAAGATCACATAAACCTGCCCAATAAACTCCTGTGTGGGTCCTTATATTAGGGGTAACCACCAGAAAAATGAAAATAGAATCTTCTTCTAGATAGGCGCCTGTTTCGTAGAGAACATGAAATGATGAAAAAGAAACAAGGGGAAAATATGATAAATAGAAAATAGAAGATAGTAGAATTCAGTTCAAATGGAATAGTTGTTAAAATAAATGCAAGAGGGTTAAACTCACCAATCAAGAGGCAGAGACGCTTAGACGAGCTTTGAAGACACAGGAGCCCGCCCGCTTTGCAGATAGGGGACATTCATGCAGGAAGTGCTAGCGAGTCAGCTGTGGGTAGCTCAGTCGCTGGGGTGGCCCAGGGGAGCAGTTTCTGAACAGAATCTCAAATGTGCCCGCTTTGGGCATGAAGGCCTGGTGCGGCGTCCGCGTGTCTGGGCACGGGCTCAGCGAGGCAGTGACATCAGACTCCCCAACATGGGTCCTAAATCCCCTGGGGAAGGTGTTTTGTCTGCACTCCCTTCTCTCCTTTGGGTTCCTGCTTTGCAGCTCTTGTGCTCTTTTCAGCTTAGTTTTGGGTGAAATGAGAAGTGAGTAGTGCTGGAGTCAGACCAGTTTCCAGTCCTGCCTCAGGCACTGACGGTGACCTGGGCAATCTCTGCCCTCCTGAGCCTCGGTTCCCTTCTCTCTCTCAGAGGCCATCAGGCGGAAGGTGGAGCTGGAGTGGGGCACGGAGGATGACGAGTACCTGGGTAAAGTGGAGAGGAACCTCAAGAAAGCCCTCCAGGAGCATCCACCCGACGTGGTGGTGTACAATGCGGGCACCGACGTCCTGGAGGGTGACCGCCTTGGGGGGCTGTCCATCAGCCCACAGGTATGTCTCGACCCTGGGGGGTGGGGCAGGGTCTGCTCTGGGGACTCAGCACCAGGGAAGGTGGGCAACACTGGTGCCTCTCCTGATGTCAGAGAGGGGCTGGGTGAAAGGAGCAGCAGTCTGGAGCAGGGCTAGACCTGCAGGAGGACTTCCAATGCCATGAGGATGCCTGCCTGTCTGAGCCAGCCTTCTCCCTCCCCTCACAGGGCATCGTGAAGCGGGACGAACTGGTGTTCCGGATTGTCCGAGGCCTCCAGGTGCCCATCCTCATGGTGACCTCGGGCGGGTACCAGAAGCGCACGGCCCGCATCATCGCGGACTCTATCCTTAATCTGTGTGGCCTGGGCCTCATCGGGCCCGAGACACCCAGCGTCTCGGCACAGAACTCAGACTCGCCTCTGCTGCCCCCCGAGGTGCCCTGACGGCGCTGCCCTTCCCAGTGACGCCCTGCCCGCCTCCCGCCCCCCCGCCCCGCTTCTCCTTCTAACTGCAGGGGGCAGTGGGGCAGCCCCAGGGGCCTCGAGGGCGCTCCTCCACTGTCCTCCCTGGGATCGGAGGGTCGGAAGGCAGAGCCTGAGACCCAGGAAGACCCCTCGGGGTTGTGGGTCTGACCAGGCCCTGAGGAGGCAGGCAGCTCGCTGAGTGGGGGCAGGTGAGACTCCTGGGGGCCTCAGGGTGGGCCCTAGGGTTTGGGGTGTGATGGTTTTCAAAAAGGTCGGACTCATTTCAGACTGAGGAAGTTTCCATCTCTACTGTGGTTGGGCCTCCATCCCTCCTCGTCAGTGGTGTGATTTGTTCCACCCTGTCCCCCTCACCTCAGGTGGGTGGGAAGAGCTATGGGCGCCAGTGTGGGTGGGCCTGAAAGCCGGGTGCTGGAGCCAGGCTTCCAGGGGCCCTGATCCTGGATGTGAGGGGTAGCAAGGAGGGGGTGCAGGTGCGTTTTCCTGCCTGGTGCTCCCCTTCAGCAAAGCGAGGGCTGGGGCTGCCTTCCCGGAGCCCTCGGTGCTGATAGGGGAGGCCGCGGAGCCTGGGCCCTGCTTCAACAGTTCTGTTCAGGGAGAGCGGCAGGTTTGCGGGAAGAAGGCTTGGCTCGGGGATGGGCCTCAGCAGATTCGAGGGGAAGGCTGACCCCGGTGGGGAGGGGGCCAAGGAAGGCGAGGCCCTGACGGGGACATTGGGCATGGGCCAGGTGGCCAAGCCAGGCCCTGTGGGAACTGCGGCCCCAGGTGGGGACCAAGGTTCTGGGGAGGCCAGGCTGGAGTTGCTGGAGGATGGCAGAGGGTCTCCCTCCTGGCCGGCAGGTTGTGAGAGGAGGGGCTGGGCCAGCCTCCACTTGCTCTCACCAGAGTGCCCAGGCCCTGGCTGTGCTCCATGTCCAGGATCCCAGGGGGGCCCTGTGTCCTTAGCTGTGCTCTGGAGGGGACGCTCAGGGCCCCCAGGGGAGCTGGGTGGGGAGTGTCCGCCCTCCATTGCCTGGGCGTGTTCCTAGACAGTGGTCTGAGGTGGGGGTGGGGGGGAAATTGGGCCAGCTGAGGCGTCCCCATCCCTGATCAACCCCACTGATGGGGCTCGTGTTCTTTACTGTCTGGGGGTGCTCCTGCTTCCTCCCACGCCCTCCCCACTCTCCCTCACTGCTCTGTCTGCCGAGGGGTGGAGAAGGGTGCCAAGACCACAAAGTCTAAGATGCTGACCCCCTGGACCAGCCCCGAGGACTGACACACACCTGGACCCCTCACCTGCTCAAAGATGCTGACTCCCTGGACCAGCCCCGAGGACTAACACACACCTGGACCCCTTACCCGCTCTTGCTGTTGGTCTCCGTGTGTGACTCACAGTCCTAACATCCCTTCCTCTCCCATGCCAGCCGTGACATTGGGGCGGGCGGCGGATGGGGCTCATCACGGTGAGCTGTTCGTAGAGAACCATGAAGGCTCTTGATGAAAACTGGCTACTGTGTGTTCTTGAGGTCAAGAAGCCCTACCCCTAACGATTAAAGGAAATAAAGATTAAAATTCACATAGCAGGAGGCCTGACACGGGGTAGCTGCCCAATAAATGCTGGTGTTCTGTTCTGTCTTCAGAGTTCTGTGAAGTAGGTCATTATTCCCACTTTACAGGTGAGGCACCTGAGACTCAGGGAGGAGGTGGCCCCGGGCCACACGGCTAGTGAGTGACAGAGCCAGATTCCACAGCATGTGCTCTCAGCTGCCTCAGATTTGGCAAGGGGCGGGGGGAGGGGTGTTGCTCTCCAGGGTCCAGGGTCAGGAGAGTGTGGGGATGTGAGAGCAGGCAGGGCTGGGCTGTGATGGTGGCTCTATGCGATGTGGGAGGCAGCTAGGGGGTCCTGGCAGGGCCGTGGCTGGAGGGGGTTTCCTAGCTCTGGGCTGTGGTTGGAGCCCACGGGGATGGGCTGCCCTGAGCTGGGGCAGGTGGGGAGGGAGAACCTTGTCCTCAGCCTGGCAGTGACCAGGGCATCCTCAGAGTTAGTCGCACAGCCTGGATGGGGAGCAGGGAAGCCCCTTCGAGGGTCAATGCCAGGGACGAGGACATCAGACGAAGACATCACGGGGTGGCAGGCTGGGGTCCAGCTCAGCCCTGTGCTAGGTGTGAGGAGGAGGATGAAGGCTGACAAGTGGCAGGCCTGTTCCTGTCGCTCAGCGGGAATTACCTCTGGAACCCTACAGCATTCTGAGCTGACAACTGTTGGAGTCTCTGTTTTACAGAGGCAGAAACTGACGCATAAAGGGGCTAGTTGTTAACTCAAAGCCCACAGCCAGTAAGTGGAGGAGCGAGGATTTGAACCCGGGCCTCAGCTCCAGGATCCACGGCCGTGTCCTCATCTGTGCGGTGGGGCCGTTAAGGATAAGCCACTACAGGGTGGTTCTAGGAATAGACACCTTCCTATGCGGGATGCACTTAGCGTGCACTTAAGCACCTGGTGAATGCTGGTCACGTTACTCTCCTGTAGGTCAAGGGGGAGAATCAAGGCCAGGTGAGTCGAAGTGTTCAGATCTGTCCTTAAGATGCGTACGTTTTATTTGCACATTACAGCCCAAGTTACAAAAATACACAGGGAACATGCCAGCTCCAGGAAGTGGCTGAGGGACTGGCTGGACTTGATGGGTGCTGCAGTCCCAGGTGAGAATGGGGACAGGCTAGGGGAGGTCTGGGGTAACACAAGCTCCTGGAGGATTTGGAGGCAGGTGAGCCTGGGGAGCACCACCCCGGTGGAGCCCACCGTGGGCCGGCTTCCGTGCTGGGGAGGGCCTCCTGGAGATGCTGGGCAGGGCCAGGGAGGGCCTCCTGGAGAGGGGGGCGGGGGCAGCGAGGGCCTGGTGGTGGGGGGTGGAGGCAGGGAGGGCCTCGTGGAGATGGGGGCGGGGGCGGGGAGGGCCTCCTGGAGATGTGGGGCGGGGCCAGGGAGGGCCTCGTGGAGAGCGGGCTGGGTGCGGGAGTCTGACTTGGAGGCGGAGCACCTCCTGCGAGGGGAGCCCTGCTCTGCCAGGGCCTGGTTGTGGGGCGGCAGGCAAGTGACCGTTTCTCAGAGCTTCCTTCTTCTGCCTTCCCGGTGGGCCTGGCACCGAGTGGCTGCCGTGTGGCTGTGGCTGGCCCCTTGTCTGTCTGCTGAGCCCGGCTGAGGTCTGGGGAATGGGGTCTCTGCTCCTCAGGGCGGTTGGGGGACTCTCAGGCCAGCACTGGAAACAGTGGTGCCCAGCTGTGACTGGCCCACGTGGACCACACCTGAGGCTGGGCTAACGGCCTGGTTGCGGCAGAGGCAGGAAGGAAGGTGCCCAGGCGCAGCCTTGTGCATCAACAAAGGCGGGCTCGGCCCAGCCCCCGCCTAGCAGCCCCGGGGCAGATCCAAAGCAGACCCCTGAGACACCGCCCTGGCCCTTCAGCCACGTGCTTGGCGTATGGGCCGGAGTTCCTCCAGGGCAGCTTGCCCTTGAGTTGTTTTCATTTAGTTTGGCCAACACTGGGGACACCCTGGGACCAACGTGGGGGGCTTGGTGCCACCCTGGGAGCAACACTGTGATGGCGAGGCTGCAGGGTGCTGTGGTTAACGTGTGGGCTCCAGTCCCCCGCCAGCCTGGCTTTGAGTTCCCCCTCACACTCCCACCCCCCAGCTGGGTGACTTTACCTCTCTGTGCCTTAGTTTACATATCTGTAAAATGGGGATGAGAGTGCCAGCTCATAGCGTTGTTGTGAGAATTAAAGTCCTAAAGTGCTTCAAGCAGCGTCCAGCATGGAGTAAGCGCTCCCTTCAAGTTCCCCATCCTCGTCATTACCATGTTACAGAGGAGCGGACGGACACTCAGCGAGGTGAAGTGACTTGCCCGAGATCACACAGTCAGGCAGTGGAAGGGCCAGGGTATGGACCCGAGTCCATCCCACTCCAAAACGAGTGCCCCTTTCCCACAAGCAGACCCCCCGGCGAAGGTTTGCCTGAGAGTGTCTTGGGGGCGTCGTGTCCTGCACCCCAGCTGGGCCTCTTAGCCCTTCCCCAACTCACACCCTTCTCAGCAATCCTGAGAGGCAGGTGTCAGCACCCCGACCAGATGAGACGGGGGACCCAGAGGGGAGAGGTGGCCGTCATCGGTCCCTTGGTGCAGTGGCAGGGCCAGGCGGACAGACGTGTGGCAGCCGTAAGCAGGTAAGCGGCTGTCTCCTTGTGCCGGGGCCTGCAGAGATGGCGGCGTCCACGCCCTGCCCTTGAAACAGTCTTCAGCTGGGAGACGCACATTGCTCTTTGGGAAGGGCCGTCCGGCTTGCCACTTGAATTTTCCAAGTACAAAGTAGAAATTCTTTTAAAGAACAGAGCAGGCAGCTGAGAAGTGCTTTAGGGGTTGGCGTGTGGGCTGTGGGAGCTGAGGGCTCCTGGGACCACCTGTTCCACCTGCTTGTGTACGTGCCCCCCAAGGCCCAGCCTCAAGTCACTGCAGCTGGATGGGGCCTGCCGGGGTGGCGGGGGACCGCTGCCCTCCACGAGGCCTGCGCAGCCCCGGCTCGCTGCTGGCGGTCCCTGCCGGCAGCTTGTTGACAGGGAAGTGAGGCCCAGGGAGGGCTATGAGGGAGCTGACTGCCCTGGCAAGCAAGCTGGGACCTAGCCACTGTCCTCTTCCTCTTCCTGGGGAGGGGGTCCTGGGAGGGGGGCCGGGGTGAGCGCGTGCTGACGTGGCGTCAGAGGGAGGACCTCGGGGAGCCTCTCTGCGCTGAGCCTCACCGCCCTCGATGCTCCCACTCTCTGTTCGTCCTACGACAGCCGCCCCAGGCAGGGACCCGGAGCCATTTCACAGACTGGGAAGCCCAGGCGCCCACAGGCACTCGGCCGAGGAGAGCGGGCATCTTCCCCACAGCCTGGGACGTGGTCCTCTGTGGCCCCTTGTCGCTACTGGGGTTAAGGCCCGCTCGGCAGGGCACACAGGAGCCAGGAGCTCTGCTGGGGTGTCTCGGGAGAGGATGCAGGCTTTGGAGTCAGCCGGCCTGGGTTCAAATCCAGCCTCTGCCACTGGCCTGCACAGTGACCCTGGGCAGGTGGCTACCCCTCTTTGAGGCTCACTTCTTCCTCTACAGAGGATTGTGTGATACAACACAAGTGGGGCTGGCATACAGAGGGCACATAACACGTGCGGGACTGGCTGTGTTCCCCTCCACCTTCTTGCGTCCTCCTCACCCCTTCCATCTGGAAACGAGGGTGAAGGTATTTTTCAGTCTCTGGTGCGGGGCACCTGCCCGGCCACTGGGGCAGGCCCTGTCAGAGGCGCCTGAGCGCAGGGCCTTCAAGCCCCCGCCCTTTACACTCACTGCCCTCAGGCCTGTGCCCTGCCCCAGCAGCCACTTGGCTCTCGGGGGCTGGTTACCATCCTGGAGGGGTCACAGGTTCTGTTCAGCCATGAGGATGTGGGCATCAGAGCCAGGCCTGGCCCTGGGTGCCTGGGATCCTCCCGTGGCAGGGAGGGAACCGGGAGAGTCACTGTCCCCCAGATCGCTGGAGGACAGCCTGGTACAGGGACAACTCAGGCCTGTGTTCAGATGTGTTCAGCCTAGGCTCTCGGTGACTCAATCACTTTGTGCCTCAGTTTCCCCATCTTAAGTTGGGAGGAAAATCCCTTCTCTCCCAGGGCTGGCTTGAGGGTTACAGGACGTCAGGCAGCTAAAGCAGCCTGGGACCCCTTGCATTCACTCCCGGTTGGAAATCCCACCCAGAACCTACGGGGCACTCCTGCAGTCCTGACTTGGGACCCCCTTTCAGAAGCAGGTTAGCGTGGTGGGTGCATGCAGGGGCCCGGGAGCCAGGACCTTGGATTCGAGTCCCACTCCTGCCCCTACTCTCTGTGTGACCTGGGGCAAGCGATGGCAATCCGTGCCTCAGTTTGCCCGTCTGAAATGGTGACGGCACTAGTGCTGGCTTGCAGAGTGGCCATGGGGATGGATGAAGCCGGTTTGGCGCCGGAGCCGTGCCCAGCCAACCGCAGCTCTGATGTTACAGGGGGCACGGGCTGTGGGCCTCGCTGGACCTCCAGCCCCGACTGCACTTCGCCTGCAGAGCAGCGTCCAGCGGCTCCACCACTCTTTTCCGCACACACGCTGGGGCCGGGCCCTGTGCTGGGACGCAGACCAAGGCTCCTCTCCCCCTGGACCCCAAGTTTCTCGAGGGCAGGACCCAGGCCTGCTGTGTCTCCGGGTCATTCGAGGACAGAATTAGGGTCCAGAGGCTGAGTGTGGGAAGGACCCTCAGGGCTCACTGTGCAATCTGTCATTGCACAGACAGGGAGCTGGGACCTGTTGGGCTGCAGTGTACCACAGCGGTTAGAGCTTGGGTTTGTCTCCCAGCTCGGCCACTCGCTGGTGCAGCCTTGAGTGGACAAATCACCTCCCTGAGCTTCTCTCTTTTACCCCATACAGTGCCCTGGCATAGTCGAGTGCTTGATTCCTGGGAGCTAATAATCTTATTCCAGTAGGAACGAGGCAGGATGGTCTCACAGCCAGAGCTGTGCAAAGAGCATGGTGATGGCGGTGCCGCAGTCTGAGCGCGGGGCTTGGATCACGTGGCTCAGTCCTCCTAACGGTGTTTGCAGGAA